TCCTTCAAGATCTGTGTTGTAAGGCAAAAGGATATGGGTGTAGCAGGAAGAAAGCAAGAGCTCCAAGAGTTTACCAGCAGTGAGGTTAATCCTGATCAGAGTATTAGGAAATGCTCAAGTGCTAGGGAGCCATCTGATCTCACTCCTGAAGGCTAGGTAGGATTTAGGCTTGTGGCTGTTAGAGGAAGGAATATATTAGATGAGCAAAACAGGTGGAAAAGCACGAGACATGAGAAAACACCACCTCATTGTGTCTAGAGCTGGGGCAGGATGAGGAATAGTGAGAGATAAAATTAGAAAGGTAATTTGGAGCCTGGTTATGTAAAAGATTAAGAGTAATTTTTATAAAAGGTTGATCTTGGAGTTTTTCGACTAGTAATTTAAATCAACTACATTTTAGTTTAAACTATACAACAGAACTATTATAGAGATAATATACTAGTGAGTTCAAAATATGGAGAAACTGATTATATGGATTGTATTAAAATATGAAATTTAGTTCCAGTGAAAGGCAAAAGAAAAATAGGAACGCACATGGAACATTTTGTGTGATTAAATTTCTTGGATGTGTTCAGTTTGTATTTAAACTAAAACGGCATGAATATCAAAATTTGCAAACCTTTTTATTTCCTTGTAAAAACAATACTATTAGTGGTTACATTCAAACCACATTAAGTATTTCACTAAAAGCAGGGCATGTAGAAATAAAAAAAAAAGTCATTATGATTGTATTCTCAATTACCTGGGAGGGGACCTTAAAAACACTACTACAGAGGAAAGTCATATAAAGCAGGGCTGAAAACATTATCCTCTCTTTTTCTCAAAACATCATTCAAATTCACTAGATGGAAATTTAATTTTGTGAGATGTCTGTACTGTTCAAATTTGTTTATGGTGTGAGCTTTCAATTTAGACAATTTATCATTACTTGGAGAGAAACTTTTTCTCTTAAGCCAGATTGAGTTTCCTTTCCAGGGAATAGATGAATCCAGGAAAAATGTTTCCATAGCTCATACCTAGCCAAAAGCAGTGGCCATGGAGGAACGGACTGCTCATTAAATAATGACAAAAGGAAAATATGTGTTCTCTTTTCCCATAGTCTCTCTGTGTCCTTGACATGTCTCACAATTCTCTAGTCCATAGATGCAAGAAGATTACATTTTGATTCTTAAATTTTGGGGCTGAACTTTTGTTTCACAACAGTATTAAGCAGGTGATTGCAAATAGAAAGGCCTGACTTTGATTTGTGTCTGACAGTTGTGTGACCTTTGGATAGTCTCTTAACTGTCACGAACCTCAGTTTCTTAATCTCTCATCTGTTTGACATGTCCTCTAAGATTTCTTTTTGTTTTAATGGATTAAGATTCTAAAGGACAATTCTGTATGACTGCAGTTTCAAGCCAATTCTACACTTAAACATGTGGGCCTCTATGCTGTCTCCATGTATTTTTTGAAGCTATCTTTTCTATGTCTGCAAGTTTTCCACAATAACATAATTACATCTGTAAGAGAGGCTAAGTCCTAAATTCTTAGCCTCACCCCAATTTGGCTCCTCTTCTTGTTATTTTTGATCTCATAATTTAGGGGAGGATACTCCCTCCACCTCTCAGGCAGACAAATTCTGCACCAGCCCTAGAGGAATAAGCCTGAAGTCATTTCCTTATAAAATCTCTCCCTTTTCTACATGTATTTAAGCATTTGTACTGTATATCTTACTGCTATAACAGAGGAAGTTAGAGAGGAGAAGAAAAAAAATATATGGCAATTATTCAACCTGACACCATTAAACTTTGCAACCTCAACATTCAATGCATCGCTTCATCCCCAGCCCAGCTCCCAACCCTGGAGGATTGCAGTGACTCTTAGGGGCAGGGAATTTCTTCAAAAAGAAGCCTTGGAAACCATGATAAGGTGTTTCAAACAAGAGCTATTGGCTCATTACATCAGAGGTTCAGGACTAGTCTGCAGTCAATATTCTTGTGTGCCTCCAAGATGTAGGAAGTAGAATAAAGATTTATATAGGTGTATGGGGGATTTCACATGATTTCTAAACAGCCTGGGAAGCATCCAGAAGTCTTGATTCTCTTGAGTTTATGAATTAGTGCATTGTTTCTCCTGTAACTCATTTTAGAAGGATCTAATAACTAAACATTTCTCCTGATTATCTCTGGGTCATAGATTCCCCTGAAAGTTGGATAAGGTAAACGCTGTCAGGTTAAAAGAAGGGGCCTGGAGTTAAGGAGACTTGATCGCTTGTGTTCACATTCTTCGCTGAGCTGAGTGCCCTTGGGAAAATGACAGAACTCCTGAGGGCCTTTGTACTGCATGTGAAAATGAAGAGTATGGACTGGGTAAGTTTTGAGAACCTTTCCAGTTCTAAATTTACACCATTCGAAGAGTAAGTTGCCACTTGCCTATAGGTACTTTAGATTAGACCCAGATCCAGAGGTGAGTGAATGTCAAAGGGTGGTGTGCTTAACGAGGCTTTGACATTATCCAGAGTTGTGGAGGCACAGCCTTAATCCATTTTGATTCCAGAAACTTCTGAGGAGAAAAGTAGCACTGAGAATTGGCAAACAAGTTAGACCTGAAATTGTTATACCATCTCTAAGTGTTTTGTTTCGTAATATTCAACTTATGCAGGTTTAATAACTTCACAGTGTTCTTTTTAGCCATTATTATAGAAAGATAGTATAAAATCTCTGATTTCTATATTCCTTTCAAATTCTATCATTTAAAAATTATCTTTGTTATAAAATCTTACTAAGTTTAACTAATCCAATGACAGTCAATGAAATGAGATTTTTACTGCTCCTATGACACTAAATCACTGTGGAAGGATATAAACACTTATGTGAAAGTGCTTATATACTAGGAGAGGAGAAAAGCACTAGGAAATGAACACGTGAATGACAGTAAAAGAATCAAATGCCCAGGACATTTTGCAGGAGAATGGGATTAGCCTCAAAGGGAAAAGGCATGCTTTGGTTTCTTTAATAAAATATTTTTTGTGAGTCCTTTGTCAAATTAAAGATTATTTTACTTAGAATCGGGTTGAAATCTTCCTTTTCCCAGCATGCAAAACTCTCTTTAAAGATAAATGTTGCAGTGGTATTTTTAATTATCGAGGCTGGGCACTTGTTTCCTCTTTACATTCACGTACTTCCAAAGGGATTTAGAATATGGAAGAGTTCCATAGCTGTTTAGAGAAATGGGGACTTAGGTCTCTCTAATTACAAACATTACTTCCCAGTTGTAGCTAAGTTCAGGCTCTGTTCTCTATAGTACTGAACCTTCCAAGTTGTGTTACATGAATATAATGTATGATCTGTGTGTTCTGGAACATCCAAACTTTGGTGAGTCTCTAGGATACACGGAGGCCAGTTTGTTTCAGCTAGCTTTGCTCTGAGTTATTTTTCTTTTTTTCTATGTGGTTAGTGATTAGTGAATTACCAAATAAACATTTAACTTAGGAAATAAAATTTCATAAATTTCTCCTCCTTCCCAAGCAATTGTAGCTTAAACAAAATGTCGCAATAGTGTAGTCTGCGTCTCTACAGGCTGACTACCCGAAGTCATGCCTGAACACTACTCATAAGCTTAAAATGACCAGAAACTGCTCATTTTGTGGTAATCATGGTATCATGATGGATTTCTGCTCACCTATCAAAATCTTATACCATATCCAAATATGTTTAAGTAATATTAGTGAAGGAAAATATTTCTGAGGTATAATTTTTAAAAATAATGCTAACCTTTAACACAATACTTATTTATAATGAAGTGTAAGTGGCTCATATTTCTGCTTAAGGTTATGCTATTTCCCTCTATTTTGTGAAATAATATTAGTAGATAATATTTATATTGATAGTGTCTGTATGCCAGGCACTATTCAAAGTGTTTTATATATATTAGATCATTTAATATTCACAACTTTGTGTAGCAGACGTTGTTATAATCACAATCCCATTTTACAGATGAAGAAAATGAGGCACAGAGATTAAGTAAATTGCCCCTGATCATAAAGGCAACAGGTCAAGATTTGCACTAGTTTCTCCAACTCTGGTATATGTGTTCTGAATTACTATGACATGCTTCCTCCTGACAGATCAACCTGCACATCGGCTGGGAGCCACCTTCAGGGACTTGAGCACCTGCAGCCAGAACCTGCTTTTCACTTAATGACTCCATAATAAATAAGTGAAGTGGGGAGAAGCTAAATAACTAGCTGGTGACCAAGGTTGGGTCCCTAATTTGCAGCGCTCAGTTCAAAATGAAAATATGGGGCCTCTTTTTCAAAAAGGAGGGGGGGAATGTATCATTAAAGTTACTGAAATGTAAAGTTTTTCCCTTCATTGTCTCTATTGTCATGGTATTTTTAATTTGCCATTTAATGTTGTTCTAAGTAAGGAAAATTTAAGGTTTAAATTATTAGCATTGATTTTGCCATTTGTCTTTATATTGTGCAATGTCTATTTTAAATGCAAATATAAGAGCATTTGGCTTATATGTGAAATCACCAAAACTGTAGCTTTTTTTGTAGCTTATAACTGAATATCTTTTTTTTCCCCGTATCAGAACAGTGGAAACTGCACAAAACTAACTCAGCTGTTCTTATATCACTTATTGACATACACACATTTTACTAATACTTTCTACTTCTGATTTATTGATGAGTAAAGAAGGACTGAAAGGAGAAGGAAATGTGGGTCGCCCTGTTTTTTCTTTGCTTCTGTGTCATCATTTTTAATATAAAGTAGTTCACTAATACAGGGAGCTAATGTAAGAAAGAATATGATAAAGTTTCTTGACAGGTCATATTTTTAAAAACACCATTGTTTTCTCTCTGTGTTTGAAACAATTCTGGTTGGAATAGAAAGCATAGCCTCTTGGGATTATTGGTGTCCTTGCTCACTCAGTTGTAGACACAACACACTTACTGTGTGCTTGATTTGAGTCTCTCTAAACTTCAGCTTATTGTGTGGTATCTTTGAATTCCTGTGCTCATGGACCTCATGAACACACATCGAGATTGGGAGGTAAGAAATAAAACAGTCTGACATGCATTTTACTCTGTCTCCTCTGCTCACATGTATGTTCCATTGTCCCACTGGACTTTACTTATAAAACAAGTTCAAATATGAAATAACGGAGAATTTCATGGTTAGAATAGAAGAGCCCTTCTGAGTGCAAGGCCCTGCATAAGTCACATGCCTGTGAAGCTGGCTTTGCTTTGGGCCATTACATGAGATGGAAACCGGACTAAACTGAAATCATCCTTCAATCAGCCACAAATGAACCAAACATTGTACTAAAGATATAAGTCACTGGCATGGGAAGGTTAGGTATGGCCACAGATGACCAAAACAGGGCAGCCAAGCCTACAAAGACAATGGAGAGGCACCTGAGTGGCTCAGTCAGTTAAGCTTCTGACTCTTAGTTTCAGTTCAGGTCATGATCTCATGGGTCATGAGATTGAGCCCTGCATTAGGCTTCCCACTCAGTGGGCAGTCTGCTTGAAGATTCTCTCCCTCTGCCCCACCCCCTGTTTGTTTGTGCATGCTCTCTCTCTTGCTCTCTCTCACTTTCTGTCTCTCACATAAATAAATCTTAAAAAAAAAAAAAGACAGTGGAGTTGGCTGGCTACTGCCATATTGAAATGAAACTGTGGAGAATAAGGACAATAGAAGTTTGCCCACTAATTTTTAATGGTTAATGACTAAATGTGAAATTTAGGGAGCTTGAGTGGTTTTTGCAGTATTTAAAGGCAGGTACAGTCAAATGGTTGGGAGGAGAACTAATTCTGAGAGTTGCAGAGATGTTGGACACTCAGCCAAGGTAGATCTGTTAGGGGAAGCTCAAAGGCCTAGTAGGGAACACGTGGGGATCCTGAGAAGTGGTACAGAGAACTCTGGATATGCCTGAGGATGCTGACTCTATTGTCCCTCTGAACCCTCTAGATGTGTGGAGGTGACCAGCATTCCCTTTCACAGAAAGGGCTGGCACTTTAGCTAGGCTGGAAGATGCTGCAGAAGCCTCTTCTTGTGTTCCATTCAGATTTACCCTCATCACTGTCCCTGGCTGCCACACCAATAAGTAGGGATGGGATTTTTTTAAGGGTGCATGGTCAAGGGGTCAGGGGCACTTTCTTGGGAAATAAGGATGACCACCATAGCAAAGACCCTAGGCATGGGACAGTGTGCTACTGTGGTGGCTCCTAGAACCCTAAAAAATTAATGGCCAACTCTCAGTAAGTTAGGAATGCCTGAGTTGGCCTGGAAGATGGTAGAGAAAGGGGGCAGAAATGCTTTAGAGAAGTGGGAATGTTGGAGTGGGTATATTAGGCAAGACCAGAAAATCCACCATTAGATTGGGTCCCATGGGAGGGTTGAGAGGACATACCATTCACCAAAGTCATCAGGTATGTGCTGGTGAGAAAGATATAGGCCAGTAATGATGCTAGCTGGTCACAGAGCTCTGCTCACTTCATGAGTTGATGTCCTATGGGGCCCATCAGTAGTAGAGGCCAGGTGGTGGCACCAGAAGCCAGCAGGCCACAATTAATTTAAAATCTGGCAAGGTCACCAGGAGTTGGAGAGATGGTAAATAAAGCATGTGTCCCCAAGGGCAAATAATAGTGCTGCCTAACATCAATAAGTAAAAAAGAGAGAAAGAGAGGGAGAAAGGAAAGGGGGGTGGGGAGAAAAGAGAAAATGATAAATGAGCAAGAGGCTGAGAACAGTCCTGCACAATAAGAAACTAAGATCCCTTGCTCAGTTCTCAGAGACAGTCAATTTTCAGGTCTGGAACCCACTGACTAAACAAGTGTCTAGGTCCCTAAGAGGAAGGGCTCTTCAACCCCAAGAAAAGTATATACCATGGCAATTCTCCTATCCGTACTCAAGGAGACTTAAAGTCTTTTATCTGGGTAAAAGTACACTGGGGAAAGAGGGATAACAAGATTGATGAGGACTATTGGACTCAGGGTCTGAGATGACATTGATAACCAGAGACCAACGGGTCCTCCTGGTCTCCTGCTGGAGTGGGGTGATGGGGACCAGGTAATAGTAAATGAAGTAAATAAATAGTAAATAAAGTCCTGACTAAAATTCAGCTCACAGTGCGTCCACTTGTTCCATAGACCCAATGGTCATTTCCCCAGGCCTGAATGCGAATCAGAATCGATATATACTTGGAATGAGATTAACTGCCACATTGGGTCCCTGGCCTGCAGAGTAAGTGATATTATAACAGGGAAGGCCAAATGGAAACCTCTAAAACTAATCCCCTCTAACTCCCAGCCAAGATAGAAAATCAAAACAGTGTTTTATCCCAGTGGGAATGGTGGAGATTAGTGTCACTATTAAAGACCTAGATGATGCAGGGGTGGTGGTCTCTATTATATCTCAAGTTATTTGCCCAGCCTGACCCCTGCAGAGACCAGATGGATCCAGGAAAATGGCTATCAACTACTGTAGGCCTAACCAAGTAGTAATCCCAATTGAAGCTGTTGTTGCCAGATATGGTGTTGTTGCTAAAATAGTTCAATTAAGGCCTCAGGTATAAGGATGTGGCCATTGACTTGCAAAATGCATTATTTTTCATTCCAGTTATAAAAGGGGACCAGAAACAGTTCACATTCATATGGGATAAATGACAATATTCACATATGGAAAAAGGAAGAAAAAGGCCAAGCTTGAATTATGAGTGGGTTGACTGGGAAATGCCAACTCCCTCATGGATTTGTTAGACTTTGCTTAAACTTCTTAGCAGTCTAGAACGCTTCCCAGTGTTTTCTCTTTCTCCCCTTCAGTCATGGACATACTTGTATCATGGTCTGATGGCTCTCTCAGCTGCATCTTGCTCTCTCTCTTTTCATATAGGATTTTTCCCTAGTAAGATTGTTCTGTGTTTAATCCTCCCTTTGCATCCAGAGGAACTAGACCAACATAGCCCTCTACCATGGGAGAACAGAAATGTTATTTGATTAATTTCCAGTTTTCCACTATTTTCCAAGACCCTTATTAGTTCTTTCCCCTTCCATCTGCATAATCCTCCTTGACTGCACATGCAGAAGGCATTGGAGACTATCCCTTCTCTGAGGACTGAGTGATTTTTCTCAGCCTCCGCTTTCGGCTTCTGAATGGTAGGAGATCAACGGACATAGTAACAAATGGTCACAATCCTCTTTGAGTCCAGGCTGGTGACAACACAACTTTCATAAAAACATAGCTTTGCATCTTTAATTCTGGTTAACTTGATATACCAATAGTCACACCCATGATTTTTTTTGAGACATGTCTCTTTCCCTAGGCTCAACTGCTGGTAACTTAAGGGTACATTCATTTAAAGGAGAGCCACTTCTTTTGATGTCTTTCTTTAAGGCATTTTGACCACCTGAAAGATTTTGCTTTATTCTGCCGTAGGACATTTGCTCACACAATCCCATGTGGACCCTCATCCTGCTTGTTTTACATTTTCTAGTTCTCACGCTCCTTTTAGCCTTCACCTCCTACTTGCAATACTGTTACTAGATCATTTTGTGTATGTTAGAAATACCATGTTGCAGAAAATCCTGTTCATTAGACATTCAGACAATCACTGGGTTCCATGTCTTTGTTCTTCCTCTCATGCATTTTCAAAACTTCTACAAGCAGTCTTGTTATCTAGGTTAGCTTCTCACTTTTGCCTATTTGTCTTACCTCTCTTTGCTAGAAATTCACTCATGTTTTTGTTGTTGTTTTCATTTCTGTGACAACACATAGAAAAGAGGAGCAAGGACCAGTCCTGGGACGCTCCAACGTTTAAGAATCAGGGAGAAGAGGAGGATCCAGTTGAGGAGAACGAGGAGGAGAAACCAAGGAGGGAGGAGAAAAAGCAAGAAAAGGGATTTTAGGTGGAAACTAGCAATTGCGCTCAATGTTGTTGAAAAGTCAAGCTGGATGTAGACTGAAAATTGACTACTTGCTTGAACCACACAGGTCATTGGTGACCTGGGCTAAAGCACTTTTGGTGGAGTGATAAGGCTGGACTCTAACTACTATGGATTCAAGAGGAACAGAATCTATGTCTTATGTTTCATTATGTTTGTGTTTCTTCATTTCTGCATTTCTGCCAACCCCCTCAATTGGGATAAACCAAACCAGTATCCAGAGTATCTTTCCTTCTCAGAAAGTGGGAGGATGGGAATAATTATATGTATTTTAGTACTTTATCCCTATCTCTTCCATTGGTCTGGTCTGTAGAATCCCTGAAACCTGCCCTGTATTTCACCTTACCACTTGGCATGAAGGCTCCCTAAGTAGTTTTAGTGATAGTAACAGTTTGTCTTATCCTTTCAATTTGAAGTGTTTGTTTTCCTGTTATATCAGATGGCTGTTCAGTGAGTATTCAAGGTACAGAAATGATCAGGTTCCATTTCAAGCTAGCTGGATAAAGAATATAGTTGACTGGGTTCTAGCCTTGATTCTAAAATAGTTGTGTGATTCAGTGAAGGTTCTTAGTTGTAAGAAAATCTGGGCAGGTCACTTATGAAAATTTAATCTCTAAAAAGAAAAAGCCTTTAAAATTTCCTTAGATCCATGAAAGTCTATACCTTACTGCTCTCAACTCTTCACACATTTTTTAATCAGCTTATTCTTCCCAACTGTCTGAAGGGGTAGATGATATTATTCATGCTTTAGAGAACAGAATAGGAAACAGAAACTAAGAGAGTCTAGGTGATTTACCATATTTTAAAGTTGATAAGAGAGGGAACAATTTAGGATTGCAGGCCATGAAGCCAAGTGGCCTTGGTTTGAATCATGACTCTGTAACTTACTAGCTGTGTGACCTTGGACAGTGATGTAAGTCCTGAGACTCAGTTCCTGTACTGCAAAATGGGGCCAAGGCCAATATTTGAATTATGAATTATTGGAACAATATCTGTGATAATCCAGGTAAAGGGCATTATGCCAAAGGGCATAATCCTCATCATGTAGTATGTTTTTGGTAAGTGCTAAGTCATAATAAAATGCACTTCCTTTATCGGGCTTGGCACTTGGCATCTGAGGCAAATACCGATTACCTGTCTAGTCTTTCAAATCCCATTTTTATTTTAGAATTCTAGTTATGGGATGATATGACAAACTGTAACTGTTTTTTCCCCCTTAGGAACAAATTAGTATAAGAGTAAGAGGAATTTTATCATTTTCTATCAATTTCCAATATCAAAATTGACAAATCAAGGCAGGCCAAATTTGAAAATGTGCAGAGAGGAAGATCACCACTAAATCACCTCATTTATTTTCTCTCTCAAAAATATATTTTTTAAAACATCAGGATAAAAAAAGAAAATTGTATTAGAAAAAGGGCTGTTACCCTACCACATTTCCTCAGTGATTGATTGTATTTTCTCCCAGGGATTGAAGAAAAGGAGAAGAGAACATGAGGGTTGATTGCATCAAAAGTGTGACACGAATAAAAGAATCAAGAAATCACATATGTCTGCACAGAAGTCAACTAATAAATCAAAAGCATGTTCTTAGCTAAGTCGATGTTTCTTTGAAACAGCATATGGCGCAATTCCAATATACTCTATATTCAGCTACCTAACAGGCTGTCTTGTTGCTTTCAACTAGTGAAAAATTTAGCAGCACAAATGTTTATAAGGCTGGTAAAACATTTTAACTTTATTTTATGCCCTGATTAACTATTACTGGCCTGATGATTACACTGTAAAACCTAAAATCATAAATGGAGAAAATAACCTGTTGGCAGGAGTGAACACTAATTGTTACAACGTCCTATATTAAAATGTGTTCATAGTTTCTTTTTAGCAGTTATTTTGATGTAAAATTTAACAAGTTTTCTTTCATCACATATCAAGTCTGTATTTTTAAAAAAATTCTGGATTTAAATTTTTGCATCATTTTCAGTTGAGAGTCATAAAATTAACATATGTCATTATAATTTTAACCTAATCAAATTCTCATAACCGTATCATGTCCTAGCCAGGAAAGAAAAAAGTTAACTTTTAATAATGTTGTGATGACTGCCTATTACTAGAAAAGATAAGTAAATCCCAATATAATTGAAGAAAACTAGTTCACATGGATTTTTAAACTTTCAAGTACTAAAAAGTCTATGACTATGTGAAGATTACTGTGGGTGGATATAACTGCAGCGAGGGAGAAACTTGTTAGACTAGAATTAATTGACAAGGATAGGAGGAATTTGTTTCAGTAGATCATTATTCTCTCTTTTTTTCAGAATTATACTTAATTGCCATTATATTGCAATGTCAGTGTTAGTCAATGTTAAATCTGAAAACTATATTCCACTCCCATACATGTCTTGACCAAAAAATACAACCACTCATGTTTGTCGGGCACTGATACCAAGTAATAGAAGAATTATAGAGGAAATTATTGAGTGCTATATTTTATCAGATCCAAAAGGAAGGGAGGGTAGGGGGGTATCAATGCAAAAATTTTGGAATAGAGCAGTCATAAAGAAGACACTGGTATAATATTTTAACCAATTCTTTTACTCTCTTTACTTGTATAAATTAGCAAGTTATTCTGAATGAATACCAGCCTTTCATTTCCAATAACCACACTCAACAGCATCCATGGAGTTGATGAGAAGTAATGGTGTCCTCCTTCCTACATGTGGAGATTCTTAAATGTTCTGAGAGGGCCTCGAGCTACTTTGCTGGGATTCTGAAATCCAGGTCCCCTTGCTTGTTGCTTTCTTTCATGAACTCTTCTTATTATTTCCCAAGGCCAATAATTCTGTATTTATTGTCTATTCATAGCACATAATATTTCATATGAGCCTAATGCTATCAGTGGCTGTAAAACAAATAATGGAAATGCTAGGCTAAGAATCCAAGTGGTCAGATGTTGATGGGGTTGGGTATACACTGCAAAAGTATAGTGAGTGTTTTAGTTGTGTGATTTTTCTATTTCTGGCCCTCCAATGAAAGAATGGAAGAAAATAAAAAAGGAAATGGTGTTAGTGAAGTGTCTCTTTTCTGTTAGACACTTGGCACACACTATCTCAATCATTTTTCTGCTGGTCCGGGCCCAGGACCAATTCTGTTCATAGTTGAGAAATATTATTGGGCTTTGGGACAGTGATTTGTTGACTCAGCATCAGGCCTAAGGAAGGTCTTACCCCTTGCTTATGCCCCAGTTGCAATAGGTAGTGTCATCAAGCCTTTGACCAAAATGTGAGCTTTGTCCATCTCCTACTTAATTTCTGCATGACTCGCTCTTCTCCCTGAATCTTACCCAATTTTACCTACCACCAGACTCCTAGATGCCTTTGCAACCTTTCCTGTTTGTTTGCTCATCCAGACTTCTTACTGCTTATAGCTGCTCCCCATTGGCTCTCTACTGGCATCTTCTTGCCATTAATTGCCTGCCTGACTGCTTATATTTCTCTATTCACTACATTCTCCAACATACCACGTGTGGATTCAGAATTACTCCCTTTTCCTACTTTGGGATCCATCCCCAGTTGCTTTCTTTTTTTGAGTCAGGTTGCCTGGTTTTACTCTTAGATTTTTTTCTGTGTGCTCTGGTTCTTTGATTATGGGAAATAGGTAGAGAAATAGGGGCAGAGGGACTGGAAACATGGCAGCCGTAAGAAATCTTAACTTTGGAGCTGTCTCTGCTTTGGAACTGGCCTGGGTAGATTCTTCCATCCTCTGTTCTTTTCTAATTGTATGGAGAAGAGATTCATGAAGTCTTAATTAATTTGAAGCTAGTTTGTATGTCAGTTCACAGGTAGTGATTTTAGCAGCTATTTTGAGTTTATCCACATGTCAGTAGCTGTAATTGCAAACTTCTTTCTTGTTAATTCCTGGAGTTGCCTCTCTTCCCCTGCTGTGAAATTTTGTCCCTCTCCAAAACAGAACATTTTTTTTTTCCTGATGTGCCAAGCATACTCATTAATTTCTCACTTAGTGATGATTCATTAATCATGGGAGGGCATATGAGCTGCAGTAAAAGCAACTCCTTTAATTTAATTTAATTTACAAACATTTATTGAGCGTTTAATGTGCAAAGCAAAGCGTTAAGCATGAGACCCAAAGAGACCCAGTTTGGGTGATATGTAAATTATTTTTTCATTGGAATAAGTGTTTAATAAACTTTTCTGAATCAAATCTAATTAGTATAGACTTTATTATAGTTTCAAGTTTAGATAATAAGTTCTAACATAAACTAGTAATAAACATAAAGAAATATACTTGGATTGTTTCTATAGAGAACGAATAACTTTCATTTAAGTAACTTATCTACAATTCATATTCTCATGAAAGCAGTGCCAAATCAAAAATTAAACTCTGCAAAATACCACTGGTTATGCTTTCTTTCTGTACTCTCTTTTCTGTCAATTCTACTATGTAGGAATAATACAGCGTAAGAATCAGGGAAATGGTTCCAGAAGGAATGCTATTTGATCAAAACTAGGATAGAGTGTGAGAGTCACTTTAATTTGTGTCTTCAGGTCATAGAATCATGGAACATTAGAACAAAGACCAAGAGACTAAGTTCATATCAATCATTTCTCCCTGGCTCACACCCAGGGAGAAAATATGATTTGTCCGAGATTGACCAACTAGTTGGAATTAGAAACCAGCTTTGGATCTAACTCTGAAGTACTAGCCATGGCCTTTTGAATAATAAGATACAGGAAACAATTCAGGTTTGGAAATTTATTGTTCATGGCATTAATAAGTGGGCAGATTGCAATTAATAGTTGATCTGTGGGTACCAGCAGTTTTAGTTTAATTGAATTGTCTCCCTTCATCTCCAGAATCATCTCTCTTTGGTGGACATTTTTCCTCCTATGAGAACAGCCCTCATTCATGCTGATGGTAAAGATGTTCCTAAGACCACAGAAACAGGTGTTCCTGGTTTATCAACTTAACAAAAAACCTGAAAACAAAACCATTTCTTGTTATTTGTATACCATGTAGGTCACTGAGCCAAAATGTTTAGGGAATTGTGATTGGCCAGGCATGGCTCACATGTCTACTCTCTTTGGCCAGGGCAACCCATCTGCTATCAGAATAAGGGCAATGCTGGAAAATTGTC